GGGTGGTAGGGATAGCGTTCCCAAGGGTATATTACCCTTGCATCACTGTCTCTTCGGTCCATCCTCAACCCCTTTCGATGGCCAGCCCCGCTCGAGGAGCCTCGGAAGGAGCGTCGATGGGGCTTGCATCCTTCTCGCGCGCTTCCTTGCTGTCAATCTTGGCTGGAGCGGGCCCTGGAATCGGCATGGCCTTTTTTTGTTACCGTTCGGCGGCCCGAGTGTTTTTTTTGTTTTGAGTGCTGTGCTGCTGTGCTGCTGTGCTGTGCATTCTGCGACCTGGTCTTATGATGTTCCAACCTGCTTTAGCCTTGACCACCAGAAGTAATCTCGAGCACCAGGAAAGCACCGAAACTGGGGGGACTTCACACGGTGGGCCCTGGGAGGCGATACTCGTTCGACACTGTCACGATGCTCTTTCTGGGTGCTCGAAAGTGTTTCTGGGATGTGGTCCTTGAGCACGACGGGAGCAGCAGAAGCCTGGGCTCAAGTCGGGCCTGCCCCTCGCCAGGAGGAATCTTCAAAGATAGTCAAACACACAGTCTGGGGACGATTCCTGTTCACCATTCTGGAATATTCTGTTAGGGGGTATTGTTGGGATATGCTCAAACTTTCTCGTCGAACATCCACCCGTATACGGGGACGCGCCCGAACTGGCCCTGGGCTCTGCCCGGTGCAGCTCGTGGCTCTGCCCAGCCCGCTCCGTGGACGCCCGGCGGAGCCGCCGCTGCCGAGGTGCCGCCTCCCGCCGTGCGTGCCCCGCGGGGCGCGGGCCGCCGGGCGGCAGCGAGCACCTCCGGGGCCCCGGGGGCGGCAGGGCGCCTGGGCCGGGGCCCCGCAGAGGGGGGGCGGGGGGGCCACATGGAGGGGGGGGCCGGACCCTGACCTGCCCGGAGGGCCAAGAAGCATGGCCCCGGGACCTAGACACCTTGATTCCTGTCGAGGTTTTTTGGGGCAGTCCAGATAGGTCTGCAGGTCTGGAGGGCTACTTTTAGCACTCCTTGGGAGGTCAGGGAGGGGGGGGGCCTGACTTCGGTCCGCTGGCGCATCAGACCGCAGAAAAGCGGTGCAAAACGAGGTCTCAAGCCGCCGCGGGAACCCGAGAGGCGTCGACAAGCGGGGCGCGCGGGGGGCACCGTTTCTCGGAAATTCGATGCACCAGCGGACCGAATTCTCCCCCCTCCTCAGGGTCCCTCCCCTTTGGTGGACCCCGATTTGGTTTCTCAAAGGAAGTAGAGTGTTTTCGAAAGAGAGCCAGCCCCCTTCTCAGGGTCCCCCCCCCTTTGGTGGACCCCGATTTGAGTTTTTCAAATGAAATAAAGTTGCTTGTTTTTCAAAAGAGCGATAGAGAGAGAGAGGGAAAGAGAGAGAGAGAGAGAGAGAACAAAACAAACACAGTTTTCCCCTAATTGTTTCTTGACTCTGGACAAGGCAAGACATCTGGCCACCAGAGCGGCGAAGAGCGGGACCCGTTCGACAACGGCCTGGAGCCTGTTCGGCAACGGCCTGGATGCGGTGCGCGCAGCAACGGTGATCTGCACGTGGGCGCCCCCAGGGGAAGCGTACGGCGGTAAGACAACGGCGTCGGAGACGTAAAGAACCAGAGGGAACGCTCCCGGCGCCCACCTCAGCCGCGGCGCCCAGGGGGGAAAGAACAAGAGGGACCGCTCCCGGCGCCCACCTCAGCCGTGGCGCCCAAGGGGGGGAGGCTCGTCGCCGTCGTCGCCGCGGCTGGGCGCAGCTCGAAGCACCGCAGCGTGCAGAGCGGGGCCCGCCGTCTGCAGGGCCCGGCGCTCCGCCCGCCCCGAGAGCGTGGCCAGCGCCCCCGGGGGCGGGGTCGGCCGTGCGCCCTGCCAGGAGAGCCCGGGAGGTGGTCGGAGGCTCAGCGCCAATGTGCTCCCTGCGGGCGACAGTGCCTGTGTGTTCCCTGCAGAAGGCATGCGGTAGCAAGCCTGCCTGCGGGAGGCGAGGGGGAAGGGCCGCTGCCGGTGTGGATGCTCCTCGCGGGGGGCCGCACTGCAATATAGGCACGGTGCATGACTGCACGCTGCAACACGGCACGGTGCATGACTGCACGCGCAGGAGGAAAAGTGCAAGATGCCCTCGCTCCTGGCGGGACCGAGATCGGGCCGCCGGACCTGGCCCAGAGCGTTGCCCACCCGGGAGCCGCTGGCCACTTTCCCTGGCCGGGCCGGGTCGGGCCAGGGAGAGGCCCGGGAGATCTTCGGGGCGAGTGGCAATACCAATGCTGCCAGCGGGAGGCAATTGCAATGCCGATAGTCCGTCGGGCCAGGGAGAGGCCCGGGGGATTTTCGGGGGCCAGTGGCAATACCATTTTTTCCCTGCGGGAGGCAGTACAATACCAATACTCCCTGCGAGAGGCAACATAGGGACCCGCCCCGGAACGTTGCCCAGGGGGAAGCGGTGGCCAAGCTTCTGGGGCGGGTTGTTCTTGTTTTCCAGAGGAAGCATTGTTGTTGTATCCGAAGAAGAAAAACGCCATAAACGTAAACTTTCGGCGCTCCGCGCGGATTTCTTGTGTCCACGCCGGGCCCCTCCTGCGCCGCCCCTGGAGCGCTCCGCGCGCCAGTGAGAAGGGTCCAGCGCAGGTCCAAGAAATCTGCGCGGAGCGCCAAAAGTTTATGTTTATGGCGTTTCCTTTTGCCGTTATCTCGATTCGCCCTGCTGCGAGTGAAGCGTTGCCCCTTCCCCCCCCCCCAAGCGGGCTTCGCTGCTGGGGAGGGGGCGGGAAGGGGACAACGGGATGATGCGCTCCCCTCATCTCCTACAGTCAAAGGCGCATAGTAAGGATAACGATTTTCCAGGGTTGCCCTTACATCCCCTTGCCCCTTGGCAACTTTCGCTGGCAATTCCGTTCGGAAAACGTCAACCTGGCCTTCCAAGGCCCTTGCATCCCAACTGCGCATCCTTTTTATTCGGTTCGAGTGCGCTCCTCGTGCACATGGATCGCCCACGCCCTTGGGCATGCCGTTCGACCTTGAGTCTGGAGGCAACAGTCGTTATGGTAGAGTTGTTATGTCAGGAGCTCGGGCTTTCTTCAGGGACATTCACCTTCCTCCTCCTCTCCTCCGAGTCTTCCCCCTTCCCCCCCCTCCTCTCCTCCTGGTCCCTCCACCTGGCTCGCGGTCTGTACTTCTCTCCCGTGGGAGAATGCGCATGTGTTTCTGGAAAGGGGTATACAGGAGCAGTGCCGTGGAGCACCCCAGCTTGAATCACCTCGTGGAGTGCTAAGTGAAGAAGGGGTTACCAGTGGATGCCCAGGTAGGGTGATATCTGGCCCAGCCTAGCCTGGCTGCCTATACGCCAGATGCAACTACCCACTGGCTTGGGTCGGTTCCATCTTTCCGCCCAGTGGGCGGAGCCCCTTCGGCCCGGACCTTTACCCCCCCCGTAAGCCACTTCGGGTATGCCAAACCTACTCTTGGGCTGGGTTCGGCCAGATATAGCCCACCTCAGCATACACTCCTGATCCCCTATCCTCCTTAGTTCGGATGCAACTCCTGGGAGGTCAAATTCTGATTCTGCCCTGGTCCCAAATCCGGCCTAGTCCCGCTTCATCCGGCTTGAGATCCCGCTAGATATCCGGCTGGATCTCCCGCTTCTATTCCGAGGCCCCATCCGGCGCAACAGTCCCGCCATGGGGCTTATAATCTTTCTCAATCCTTCCGACGAGGACCCCCAAGAGTCCTTCTGAATCCTTCTCAATCTTTCTCAATCCTTCCTTCTTAATCCTTTTGAATCATGTCTGCTTAATGTTTCCCCAACCCTTCCTTCTCAATTCTTCTCAATCCTTCTCAGCAACCGAGGGGCGGCAGGTCCAGCCTGCGGGGCGGCTCGTGGCCGCGGCGCCTCGACCGACCGTTCGTGCCGCGCCTTACTTGGCGCCCCCGGGGCGAGCCGGCGCCTTGGCGGGCGGCCTGAGGCGGCGGTCGGCAAGGGGTCCCTCGTCCTGAGGGGCTTAAGCCCAGCGCTGCCCTGCTCCCTCGTCCTGCGTCCACCTGGCCCTCCCTCCTCTCCTCCTCCTGCTCCTCCTCCTCTTCCTCCTCCTCCTCCTCCTCCTCCTCCTCCTCCTCCTCCTCCTCCGCCTCCTACTCCTATTTCTACTCCTACTCTTCCTCATCCTACTCTTCTTCCTCCTACTCTTCCTCCTCCTCCTCTTCCTTCTCTTCCTTCTCCTCCTCCTCCTCCTCCTCCTCCTCCTCCTCCTCCTCCCCCTCTTCATTATCATCACCATCATCATAATCATCATCATCAGCATCAGCATAATCATCATAATCCTCCTCCTCCTCATCATCATCATCATCAGCATCATCATCCTTGTCATCATCAGCATCATCAGTATCATAATCCTCATCATCAGCAGCAGCATTACCATTCACATCATTATCACCAGCATCAGAATCCTCATTCTCATCAGTATCATCATCAGCATCAAACTTATCATCAGCCACATCCTCATCATCATCAGTATCATCATCAGCATCATCATCAACATCATCAGCATCAGTATCAGTATCCTCATCGCCGTCGTCATTATCAACAGCATCAACATCAGCATCATCATAACATTGGCCTCCTGCCGCCGCATCCAGGCCCGCGGATGCGGACACACTGATGTTCGTTGTTTCCATCTATTCCTCCTCTTCCTCCGCCTCCTCCTCTTCTTCCTCCTCTTTCTCATCCCCCCCATCCCACAATCCAAGTCCAGAGGTAGCTTAAGAACCCAGGCGTCATCAGCACCACCGTAATTTTGCCATGAAGGGGCTTTGCATAACTACCTCCCTCTCTCTTTGGTTTAGGTTCATGGGCGGATGCCGAAGCCGCCGCTTCTTGTGACTTCTGTGTGGTCGCCGGCGGGTCCGAGGGAGCACTGGCGCCGGCTGCTCCCTTCAGAGTTTGACGGTGGTGGCGGCGATGCGCACAGGACTCCCGGAACGCCACTGCTGAAGACACCAACGCCCAGCCGCATGCCCGTGGTCAAGGATCGCCCGAGCGTGGTGGGGAGGGGGGAGGGGGGGATGTCCTGAGATCGTTCGGCGGCGGGCCGAGGGGGGGGACGTGCGAGGGGGCAGGCCTTCTCAGAAGGCGGCGGGGCTGCCCCCGCTCTCGGTTCCCCCTGGGCTCGCCGCCGAAGCCGGGCGTCGCAGCTTTTTCAAAACGGGCGATCGTACCTTGTTCCTGGACCGGGAGGCCCTCACGGATCGATCCGGCTCGGACAATGTTGAGAAGGAACGAGTGGGTCTTCTAGCCCGCTTGTCTCACGATGTTGAATTATTTTGCGACTGGGGAGGAGGAGGAGGAGGAGGAGGAGCAGGAGGAGCAGAAGGAGGAGGAGGAGGAGGGGGAGGTGGAGGAGGAGGAGGCCGAGGAGGAGGAGGAGGTGGATGATGAGGAGAAGGAGGAGGAAGAGGAGGTGGAGGAGGAGGAAGGAGGAGGAGGAGGACGAGGACGAGGACGAGAAGGAAGAGGAGGTGTAGGAGTAGGAGGAGGAGGAGGAGGAGGAGGAGGAGGAGGAGGAGGAGGAGGAGGAGGAGGAGGAGAGGAGGGGGGGAGGAGGAGCGATGTGAGAGAGGAGGAGGAGGAGAGGAGAAGGAGGAGGAGGAGGGGGTGGAGGAGGAGGAGCAGGACGAGGACGAGGAGGAAGAGGTGGAGGAGGAGGAGGAGGCGGACGAGGACGAGGACGAGAAGGAAGAGGAGGAAGAGGAGGTGGAGGAGGAGGAGGAGGCGTAGGAGGAGGAGGAGGAGGAGGAGGAGGAGGAGAGACCAGTGTAAACCCAAGAGTCATCAGCGATGTTGGAATAAACCCACCCTCAAAGCTTCCTCTTACATGCCCCTGCAACGGTTCACTTCCATTGAGATATTGGCTCGTTGGAAGACAACCGTTTGAAGACCCTGAAGCATGCCAAAACATGATCCTCGGGATTCCAACGCCACGGATCAACCTGGCTATTGCGTGTTGACGATCCTGAATCGCGCTAGAGTGCCATTTCTGGGACCTCAACACAGCGCGAGTCAACTGAATTGTTGCGCCCGGGTAATCCTGATTACTTTCCGAACAGTATTTCCGGTACGTTGATGATGAGAATCCGCGAAATTCTTCCAAATCTTGAAAACGAATGTGCACGGCGCTAGAGGCGAGAGCCATGTTTTGAAAAGGAACCGCCCTCGATCCGTGAAACTTTTGCATACTTTTGAAACGAATGTACGCCGCGCTAAGGCGAGAGTCACATTTTGAGAACGACACGCCCTCAATATTTGAAACTCTTGGAAATGTTTAAAACGAATGTGCGCCTCGCTAAGGCGAGAGCCATATCTTGAACACACGATCCGCCCTCAATCCGTGAAGCTCTTGCAGTATGTAAAACGAATGTGCCCCGCGACAAGGCGAGAGCCACATTTTGAAAACGACCCGCCCCTCATCTGCAAAATTGCTGCCAATGCTTTAAGATTCAGAGTCATGATGAGGAAGTCTCAGGCGAAACTCCCGGCCCGCCCTAAAAGTTGGCATCGGTGTGCGACAGGGGAGATGCCATTTATAAGGAAAAGGAATGGAGGAGGAAGAGAAGGAAGAGAAGGAAGAGGAGGAGAAGGAGGAGGAGGAGAGAGGAGAGGAGAGGAGGAGGAGGAGAGGAGGAGGAGGAGGAGGAGGAGGAGGAGGAGGAGCAGGAGGCCTCGACAGGAGGAGAGAGGAGGAGAGTGGACGACGCCAGCCCTGCAGCACACCCGGCTCGGTGGCCGCCGCCGCGGGTGTTGGCACGCGTCCTGGCGGCGTGCATATCGAGCCGGTGTGGCACATGGGTGGCGTCGTCCAGAGGAGAGGGGCGGGGATCGGCGTTCCTCCTCCTCCTCCCTCCTCCTCCTCCTCCTCCTCCTCCTCCTCCTCTTGCCTCCCTCCTCCTCCTCCTCCTCCTCCTCCTCCTCCTCCTCCTCCTCCTCCTCCTCACCCAAACATACTTTTGCGTCAGCGGCGAGGCAGAGGAACTGCTCCAGCGGGTGGCGATTCGGGGCGACCGAGAGGCGAATTGGCCGACGTGCGACAGGGGGAGGAACAGGGGTGAAGGGGCGACCGCGCGGAGGATTTGAGAAGGAGGAGGAGGAGGAGGGCACTCAGACGTGGAAGACTTCCACGTCGAGTGGGCCGGTGCAGCCAGCAGCGGCAGCGGAGCCGTGGCAGTCACCCAAGCATACAGTCAAGCCGCATAATAAAGATGAGCAGCCTTCCCAAGGGTACCTTTGCATCGTTGCCTCTTCGGCCCATCCTTGGCCACTTTCGCTGGCCGCGCCCCGCTCGAAAAGCTTCGAGATGTCCCTTCAAGGCGCTTGCATCCTCCTCGTGCGTCCTTCAGACACGGGCCGACTGTATGATGTGTGCGTCGCCACCGAAGGGGCGACGCGCGCACCAAGAAAGCTGATCGTGTATGCGTCGTGGCCGGCGCTTTCTGGCCGTACGGCTCGGGAAACGATGTGCTACGCGATGGTTGTACCATGTGGTCGGGTCGGACGCACGCCTCGCAATGAGGGCACGTAGTACTAGTATGACCCTGTGTGCCCCAGGGGAGGAGGATGAGGAGGTTGGAGCCGTCTGGGGGCCTGAAGTGGTCCAGCACTGGTCTGTCGGGGAAACGTAAGATTCGAGTAAGCGGTGACTCGGTTTTGCCGACGTTTTTTGACAAGCGCGTCCTAGATTTTGACGTTCCGGTTTTCGATTGATGTTTGCAGCAGGAGTTCGCGCCAAATTTCAGATTGGTTCTCGTCATTTTCATGGTGGCCCCGTCAGGCCAACCCGAGTCCCCCGTACCCGAGTCTTACGCCTCACCAGCTATTGCCAGCAGGAAGGGCGGGCAGTTTGAGGTTCTGGGTTCGATACCTAACCGGCGGCGAGCGAGGGTGGGAAATGAGAAGAAGGCCTCCTCAGAAGGCGGCGGGACTTCTCAGAAGCCGCGGCGCCTTCTGAGAAGTTTTCTGCGTCTTCGGAGGAGGCTTAGAAAACTTCTCAGAAGGATGGGGGGCCTTCCGAGCCTTCCGAGAAGGCCTTCTCCTCCTCACTTCCCCCCCTTTGCTCGCCGCCGAGACAAGGTAATTTTTCCGGGGGGGGGGGGGGGGAATTCTCCTGTCTCGGGGGGGGGGCCGTGTAGGGCCCCCGGTGCCGTCAGGAACGGGTCCGGAGCGGCAGGTTGTACGAGAAGGATTTCGGTGGGGCTCAGTGGGGCCTGTCCCTCCGCAGGAGGAGTAGTCAAGAAAATTCCACAAAGTAGTCTGGGGACGATTTTTTGGGGTTGCTTGACCAATTTGGGGGCACTTACTCTTCATCCACCACAGTCCCCCTGTAGGGGGGCAGGCCCGACTTTCAGGGTAATTAGGGGTCTGGGGTCGGACTTGGAGCGGAGTTGGGCCTCGTTCCCCCTCCTGGCAACTTTTCCTGGGGGGCCCCGGCCCGCGCAGACCCCCCCCCCGGCCGCCTCTGGCCAGGAGGCCTTGCAAGGAGCCCGCGAGGGGGCGGGTGGGCGCCCGAGGCCGAGGAGAGAGGTTCCTCCGGGCGGCGTCCCCGTGCGGCGTGCGGCGGGTCGAGGCGGGAGGGGAGGGGAGGAGGAGGAGGGGGAGGGGGAGGAGGACGAGGAGGACGAGGGGGGGGAGGAGGAGGAGGACGAGGAGGAGGACGAGGAGGAGGACGAGGGGGACGAGGAGGACGAGGGGGAGGAGGAGGAGGACGAGGAGGACGAGAGGGAGGAGGAGGAGGAGCAGGACGCCCCGAGCGCGTTCCACTGCTCGCAAGGTGCCTGCTCGCAAGCGTCCGAAAAAACACATGCCTGCTTCGACGTGATGCATCGTAGATCCTCCACGGCGAGCCCAGGCCATTTGCGAGTAGTCACTTTGCGAGTAGTGGAAAGCGCTTGTCTAAGGACAGGACAGCAGGACCGACCGCGAAGAGTCGGCCAGGCAGCCGGGAGGCATGCGGGCCTCGCTCATCTCATCGGGGGCGGCAGAGAGGGGAGTGATGACCAGGGTTAAGTCGGGCATGCCCCTCTACAGGAGGAGCATGCAAAAATAGTCACAACATAGTTTGTGACGATGTTTTCTACCATTGTTGGGCCATGTTGTAATGTTTGTTGACTGCTTTGTTATAGTGTTCTTCCGAAATCAGCATGTAGGAGGGCATGCCCCGACGTAAGACTGGGGGGGGGGGGGAAATCATGGTGGGGGCCATCATATCTCCCCAGATGTCCTGGCGCCTCCTCTCATTTTTCAGTACGTCCCCGGCCCCCCTGTCTGCCGCGCACATGCCGCCGGCCATGAGTTGCACCCCCCCCTTCTTGGACGCCCCCTCTTGGACGCCCCCGATCTCTCTCTCTCTCTCTCTTTCTCTCTCTCCCTCCTCCTCCTCCTCCTCCTCATCCTCATCCTCATCCTCATCCTCCTCCTCCACCTATGCGAAGTACGAGGCGCTGCGGGACGGAATCCACGACAACGATTTGGCGCTGTACAAGGGGCTGGAGGCTCTGGCGCAGCAGACGGCGCGATTGGCGGGGGAGCACGAAGCATGGCTGGCCGACAGTGGCTTCCAGGACCACGACGGTTTTCCCACCAAGCAGCCTCCTGGGAGGGAGGGGCCACCACAGCTGCGCGCAGGGCTGGGCACCGCGGGCGGCGAGGGAGGCGAGGCTGAGGAGGAGCTAGTGGTGGAGGAGCTGGAGGAAGTTGAGGAGGGCTGGCCTTGGGCGGGAAGCAGCCGGAGGAGCCACGCAGCCAGGCAGCCTGCAGCAGCGCAGACCCCAGAGACTCCCCTGGTGGAACCCCAGTGGGCGGCGCTGTGAAGAGAGGCCTTCGAGTGCGGTGGGCACGCGCTGCTGAAAGCGTACATTCGCGAGCGTCGGAGTCAATGCATTTATTTCTGCATGAGATGCGGGAGGTATTTTTCGGGCAGCCGTCCTGGGAAGGCCATGGCCGTGCATTGCAAGAGCAGATCCGCGAGGACTGGCTTCAG